ATATCTTTTATTTTACATAATTTTACTAAGACCTTTTTTTTAGAATTTTTTTTTATAAAGAAACCAAACTATGAACTGTCTAAAATAAATCTAAAAAACTCGAACAAGTCAAATAAAAAAATTACAAATCAATCAGACCTATGTATCTGGAATGGTCATAATGCTATTGTTCCACTTTGTGCAATTACATGTAGGAAAATAGGGGTTTTAAGAAGGTTTTTGGTCAATGATGCAAATGAGTATATTATGACTAATATAAACAAATTACAAAAATATTCAACAATTATATCAAAGCAGGTAACAACACAATGTTTGCTTGATGAATATAAATATTCAGTGACAATATATGTAGGAGATAAATTGATATGTACAAAACAATTCTCATAATATATACCTCATCATTATAAATCAATACTTTCACATTTTTTTTTTATGATTTTGAATCAATTACAAAGTTTGATATATAAGACTTATTAATATATATATATATATATATATATATATATATGAAGAACAATCAATAATGATAAGGTGGATTCATATATCAAATTAATTATTGATTATTATTAATTTCATATATATAAACGTGATCATCGACTCATTTAGCTAACTTAAATAATTTTAAAAAAATTATAGTCATCGCGCAACGCGCAATGTCAAACACTAGTTGTTTTTAAAAGCTAATACAACACTTTTGGTTGTCGTATTAGAGATTAAGAGCTAATAAGACACTTTTAAGTGTCCATTAAAGTTTAAAATAATATAAACATAATTATATATAAACAACTGGGCCTTAAATGTCCAATTAATTTTGAATAAGGAAAAAAGCCTTGTTTCACGTTGAAAACCCAAAACCTCAAGTTTTAAATACCATCTTTGGGCTAACAACCTCAAGTTGTTAAATTATGAATTAAGGCCCAGTTGTTTCAAGTTGAAAGCCCGAAACATCAAGGAAAAAGCCTTGTGTCTCGCCGGTCGCCATCATCGAGTCCTCGGCCTCCTTTGCACGCTGAAAACCTAGCACATCCAACCGTGATGATCGTGGAAAAGCGTTATTGGATGATCAAGATGAATCTTCAGATCATTTGCCAACGGATCACATTTAATGCCTCACACTCCAACGAGAATTAGGTACAAAGATCAAACCTTTATCTGCCTCAATGCTACATCGATTAAGAGAGTATGATGAACTCGCAATTTTAAACTACAGGTTCACATTGTTGAACTCATACTGTTACAAAATAACTTTGTCTTCTCTTGTTGAATCAACTAATTTCTAGTACGAACTATGGCAGGAGAATTCCAGAAACTTACAATGTTATGATGCAATTTTGCTTTTGTTACGATCCAAGTTAGATTAGATGATCGATCGACTGGAGAATTAATCTCACTTCCAAATACGATCAGTGCTTTTCTACATAAATTAGGCGTTAATCTGTGTCTATTTTTTGTTAGGATTTCTTGATTTGACAACAAGAACTACTTCTACTCCTGTTTTTCGATTTTGTTTTGATGTATTATGATCTGGTTTTCTGTTCAGTAATTCCACTTTAGCCCAAGTTTTTTTTTAATCTCGTGGGCAGTCTCTATGATCATGTTTTCAACTTTTGAGCATTCGGTGAAATGACCACAATTTTAGGTATTCACTTAATCTCTGTATCGTAAAGTTATTCAAAGAAACTAGGAAGATTGTTCGATCACACAACAACTTGGCGTTACATGTTTAGCTGGATACGCTGCTGGATCTGTTGGGAGCATTATTTCGAACCCTACAGACAATATCGTTGCTTCTCTCAATAACAAAAAAGGCTGGTAGTCTAAAGCTGGTAAATCCTTTTTCTTTTATTTCTTCGATTATTTTCTTATAGTATCGTAAGTTAGTTGTTACTAGAACTGTAAGTAGGTTGTGAAGAAAATTGGATTGCGGAATCTATTTACAAGAAGTCTTCCTATCAGGATCATGCTCATRGGGCMTGTTGTGACTTTACAGTGGCTATTCTATGACACCATCAAGGTGTTAAATGGCCTGTAAGTGCAAACTTACCTACAACATTCAACATGAAATTGCTTTGTGATTAGATTATAAACTAACTCGATTTTGAAATGTAAATTATTGCAGACCGACAAGTGGGCACATTCGTTCTGAAGTAGAAGATACTGGGGCGAAGATTCAAGTAAACACTTGAGTTCATGTTTACAAACAGAACATGTTACAGTAAACTTTGAAGTCAAAGAACCATTCACTTTTCTCAGTTTTCTCAGTTTTCAAGTCCTAGGGGAACATGTTTTGCCTCAGTTTTATGCTTCATTTCTTGAGGATATATCGAGCAGCTAGTTTATAATCATGCCATGGCTTCTCGAAAGTAGTTAGACCAAACATTTGTCTTTGCAAACCTCGTTGAGTAAACTTTGAAGCTCCAAGCTTGAAACTGAAAGATCAGAGTAAGGAGTGAAATGTTATTTTTATATTATTCTGCTTTATGATGCGTAAATAGGAAAATATTGCAATGATCTACAGCCCTCGACTTGAACGAACCATCATTGAGTCCTCTACAACCCTCACTGTTTGCCATCATCGAGTCCTCTACACTCCTCTGCATGCTGAGAATCTCAAACTTGAAGCCCTCAATGTTTGCGATATGTCGTTGAAAAACTGACATTTTAAACTTTTTGTCCAGCTTTCATGCGTCAACTTCATCACTATTTTTGACTATCAAGAAGATTCATTAAGACAAAACACAAAACATAAACATTGAACTCCAGCCTCTTAGCTTTTCATCAATCTCTGATTCATCCATTTTGGATGAGAATTGAGTGAGTTGTGCATGTTTTCTCACAGTTGCGCAAAACAGTCGTTAAACAAACATTTGTCTTTGCAAACTTCGTTCACTAAACTTTGAAGCTCAAAGCTTGAAACTTTAAGATCAAATTAGGGAGTGACATATAATATATCAAAATCGTAGCTTGAATCTATGAAGAACAGATGAGAGAACACACCGTTCTGAAATTAGGAAGAAAGGAGTAAAGTACGTAGCTTCTGTCCAGCACCCATCTACAGACTTTGACACAAAATAAGTCATATCTGCACATTGAATTTGAGAAAACTCAAAATCTCAAAGATGTAGATATATGCTTTATCTTTTAAATGCAACTGAAATCATGAATTTTGGAGCTTCGATATGAAAGTTTTGCGCCAAAAGCTACAGCAGCGCAAAGCTGACAGCAAGCTTTTATAAAATCGGTTGATTTATTTTAGAGTGGAGTATATATATTGAATTTGTTGGAGATGCTCTGATTAACTAGTCATGTTTGATCAACTAAATGATAATGTAAACTAACCTAAAAAACTCTAAATATAACATATGTTGGATTTAGGTTATTGAACAGAATAGGTTGATTTATCTCGATCCTTATGCTTATAGGCAACATTTTCATTTTCATTGACTACAACTGATTTAAGTTTAATCTCTTAGTCGTAACAACTTCGATACGAATTCTATGACAATTAATTTAAGTTATGTGATTATACGAATTATACGATACCTGCTACTTTGTCAGTGCCCTTCACTGTTCTGTACATACGAATTATACGATACCTGCTACTGGGAATTTCTGGTCTGTCTGGTTTGGTTTGGTTTTTAGTTAACTTCACTTTGGTCCTTATGATTTACATGATTAAAAGTGATCAAGAGTCCAAATTCCTTCTTAAACTTCTCACCTTCGTCTACTTGCCATTGTATTCATTTTGCTTTAAAGATGGACCCTCACATTTCTGTTCCGGAGATATATAGGAGGTTGTTGCCATGGTTACTGAAACATTATAGTGTATGTGATGATATTTTTCTGCATTTGACATTTCTGAGCATAGGGCTCTCGGCACTGGGTGAAACTTGGCAAGTGTCTTGGCGGGGCAACCTGAATGTGTTGCAGCCATGGTGATTTCTGATCCCCTTTGTCTAAACCCAGATCTGCAGATCTGAGCCTCATCCAATTTCATTGTTCCTTCAAAAGTGGATTGAAAGGATCCATTTCGGTTTGTAATGTAAACAACTCCACACTCAGATAACATGAGGCATTTTCAGAGGGGATGAAGATGATGGTTCCTAAGGGTGGTTGCCCCTCTCTGATCGTACCAAATTCTGATTTTGACTTCATTTGGTCAAACATCATTCTTTCTTCACTTTTTTTCTTTTTAAAACAAGTGTTACACTATTTTGTTGGTATACTTGTAAAATTCTTGAGAGTTAGTGACTTTCAATCACATTTTTATGCTAGTCTAATGGAGCTTGAGTCTCGAAAATTATAGCTGGAAAATTTGGACTGCTGTCAAGAGACCGAGTTTCTGCCAATGGAAAGACCAAAGAAGAAAAAGCTTGAACAAACCTTCGATTCGAGTGGATCAACATTTCGATTGTGACAGAAGATAGGGTCTTGGTGCCTTTAAGGTATGCATGCAAACTCCTCCTTTCTGTTCCATTCCATTCCTAGGGTAAAGTAGTTCCTTAATTAGCTAGTTAAACACTTCCATAGTTGATCACTGGACGTTCTTTTTCATTATGATTCATTTCCCTTTGATCCAATTTTGGGAATATGGAGTTGATGGGGTCAAGTTTAATCATTTATCTTACAAGATTATTATGGAACTTAATAAATTAATCTTATAATCTTGTTCTTCAATCACGTTTTTGTAGGTTGGGATGTTGTTCATCATAAAGGAGGGAAAGTTTGGTTAGAGCATATGGATTGTTTATTGCAATTGCAGACGCTATTGGAGCAAAAATCGCATAGCCTTGTCCTTTCACTTTGGTATGCTAATCTTTTAACACTTGTGAATTTTAGCAAGTGTAGCATTTTTTTTTATTACATAACTTCAAGCTCATATACCTGTTTTTTGATTATAGATTGTGCATGACAAAGATTGATATCTCTCGTTTGTAGGACACAATAAGATTTTTTGTATTTGCGTAATTCTTGTTCAGTACTTACTTTTGTCATGATACAACTTTGTGGTGGATACATAGCTTGGTAGTTGGTACTCATATAAGTACTTGTACAATTTCGAATTTTGTTTTATCAAATCAATTCGTAAAACTTTCATATATGCTTCTAAATGTAATATTACAGAAGGATTTTATAATTGGATGATGCGTCTCGCATTATAGTCATTTAGGACGCTTTAAGTGTTAATTATTATAGCCTATTATGACACTTTTTTAGTATTACTTAGTTCATTTTATAAGACACTAAAATTTGTTTCATAATTATAGAACTTATTAAGACACATATTTTGGTACTATATAATTGTTTTAGCGACATTGAATTTCGTCCTATAAAAGCATTTTTTGGACATCCATATTTGTTTTTAAATGTAAACCTTTTGTGACAACATAAAGTGTCCTATATTATAGTCTATTAGGACACTTTTTAGTGTTACTTAAACCATTTTATAGGACTATGGAATTTGTATCATAATCCTAGAGTTTTTTAGGACACTCAAATTCATCTCATTAACCTAATACAACACCTTTAGATAAGACACCCATATTTTTTGTCCTATAAACTTAAAAGTCATATTAACTACCTTATTAGGACACTAACGAGAGTCCTATAAACCCCCTTTTTGTTGTAGTGAAATAAAAGGGTAAATTGTGCGAAATAGAAATATATTTTTATAAATTTTGTTATCATATTATTTTACTTTTAGTTTTTCTTATTACAGCAATGTATTTTCAAAATATTTTTTATTAGGGTGTTGTACTTTAAAAAATTTACACGAGGTAACTTTTTAAATTAAGTTTACTCATTATACCAGGTTTCTTTGTCACCTTATCATCCACATAGGTTGTCCGCATGTATGATAGTTCTGACATCACATTTCTTATAATAGCATTGTATTTTCAAAATTATTTTATCATATCATCACTAGATTCTATTACAACATCGTACTTTTAATATTAATATTTTTATTATTTAAACATAGTAAATTTAATCAAATATGTTTACTAAAAATTATAATATCAGAAATTAAACATGTTTACAAAAGATCATTATTTCACGAATAAAAAAATTCATAAAAAATCATTCGTTCATCGAAATCGTAAATTTCATAGTTTACTTTGTAATGCCAAAACCTAAACAAGTGAAATATCGTTAGAAAAAAACATCATATTCGTATTAAATATTATTATTAGACGAAAATGAATAAATGGTTTTTTTTATGACCATAAAAAATATATAAATAATTATCTACCTCGTGTTAAACATTTATGGTTTTAAATTATTTGGGCCACGCACTAGGGTTTTCTTGTGAATATTATCAATTATGTGATCAATTAGGTTCGGTGCACAAATTTACATTAGTGGACCCCACAATGAGAAGAATATCATCCTAAATGTTTTTTTAATTAAACAAAAAAAATATTTTATGATGATTTTAGTACTTTAAGTAAGTACTAATTAATAAGTAGTTTCATGTTCATGAGAAGGTATGGATCTGGTTATATTAAGATTACTTTTCAAATGTAATAGGATGTTGCTAGAAGTAGACAGTGGTCGACAGCGGAGATACCTTTAAAATGAATCAAAAGTCTGTTAAATGTTCAACGTGATTTTAGTTGAATTCCACTTAAGTTTTTCGGTTGATTTCAATGGAGGACTTGTCGGTTTTTTTGTTGCTTTCAAGAAAACTTTTCTCGTTGATTTCAAGGAACTTCTTTTAGTTGTTTTAGAAGATGTTCTTTGTATTTTCTAATATATCTCAGAGCATCGCTCAAAGTTTAGAAGTGCAAGTATATAACCGGCCAAAAGTACGAGTAAGAAACGTGAAAATTGCAATTGGCAAATTTAAACATGGAAAACTGCAATTGGCAAATTTAAACGTGGAAGAAGTACAACTACACACATTTTATCTCTATAAAAGGAGTCATGTTGCCATTTAAACTGCATAACAAATATTTCAATTAAAATCGTATATTCTCCATGCATCATTCAGTTGTCAAGGCCATTCTTCTTTGTCTATTTTCTGGTATATTTTTATGCAGCGGGGTGGAAGCAATAACTCTGTCAGAAAATGTCTCCGTGTCAGCGGTCTTAGCATTCGGAGACTCCTTCGTTGATCAAGGGAATAATAACTATATCGTTACTTTGGGCAAGGCTAATTTCCTTCCTTATGGACAGGATTTTGAGGGTGGAAAGCCAACTGGAAGATTCTCCAATGGGAGAACAATAGCTGATATTCTCAGTAAGATTTTTTCCCCAAATGGTCTATATAGATTAATCCCCTATTTCACTTACCCGATAAGWCTTTACCKGGTAARACTYTCGGTGTCCATGGCTCGCTCTTACCGAATAAAWTTTTTGGTCTTTGCCATATTCATCCAGTACGGTAATATGACTTGGTAATTAAGTACTTACCGTGATAAGTGTTTGGTAAACGGCCCCTTACTAGGCAAGCTGTCCCACTCACGTTCATCACACGAACTTCCAAAGTGTGCGACAGTACGAAGAAAATCAAAATTAAAACAATTTGCTGAATTTCTGAATGTTATTTGCAAAAAGAACTTCAAAAGAAAAGGCAAACACTACAAGATGTAAAGGATTTAAAGGATCAGAGTACTGTAGCACATGCATACCTTAGTAATTTTATAATCATTTTGACTGACAAAACTGCAACTGTTCGATATGAAATTTAAGCCGAGGCATCGGGAGTGAAGGAGTATCTTCCAGCATATCTAGACCCTTCCCTACAAGAAGAAGATTTTCTTTCAGGTGTAAGTTTTGCTTCAGGTGGCTGTGGCTATTATAATTTAACAAACAGAATATCGGTATGTATGCATATCCTGCTTTTAGTAGAACTCTTTCCTTTCTATATACCCTTTCCATTGGCAGGCAATTATTTTGCTAAACTTGTTTTTCTTTGCGTGTACAACAATTAGGGTGCTATACCACTATCATCTCAATTGGACAACTTCAAGCAATACATTGGGGAGCTCAAGAGGAATATCGGGGACGAAGGTGCCCAGAAATTAATCACCAACAGTGTGTTTTTGGTTGTAGTAAGCACCAATGATCTGCTTATTTCCCTTCCCATCATAAGCATATCACAAAATGATGTCCCTGCATTTCTTAACCTGCTGGTAAAATCAGCCTTGGATTTTGTACAGGTATTAATTTTCTTATAGTTTTATGTGCTCAATAATTGTATCATCTATATTTACACATGCTAGCTTTCCTTGTAAGATGGAAAATCAAGACTAGCAGATATATAC